AAAGTCTACTATAAAAAATAGCATCTGCCTATGGTGTAATTTGTCCCAGAAAAGTCTATCCTTGTCTCTCTAGACTGCAAAAGAGCCTAGAGCTACTACCCTCTTAATTAAGATGCTTTGGTTAGGGCACTTAAAGTTAGGGGTTCAGAACAAAGTCCGTAGCCAAAAGTGCTGGAAGAATTCAGATGTCATTTGCACTTAGCATTGTTTTTGAATAATAATGTCAGATTTAGTCAAGGGAAATCTTCTTAAGTCTTGTTTAAGGCAAGCTGTAAGTCTGCAGCATTATTAGGGAAAATTGAAATTTTTAAAATTTTATTTTATACATGCTTCCATTTTTCTCTGGCATAGAATACTCACAACAGTTTCTCTGCACATCTAATGTCAAGGATGAATTTTGATTAGTTTTGCTATTTCTTTAGTCCTTTCTATTTTTTTTCCAAAGCACAAAATTTTTCTTATGTTTTTTCAACATAAGGAAAGTATGTACGTAATGAATTTTACTGGACTACATTAAAATTGTAATCTGATTTTTAAAATTGAAAGAAATTATCTTTCTCTGACAAATAGCAAAAGCTGAAATGGAAGAAAAGCTGAAAAGAGAGAAAGCAGGCAGCTAACTGACAGTCAGTTTTCTCAATTAAAACTGAAATTCCTATACCAGGGACTTTTCTGTGTAAGATTTCTTCCCGCTCCAAAAGAGGAAAATCCCAAAGAAAGTAAGGCAGTTAAATTTAATGGGACACTAAAATACAACATCAAGAATTGATGTCTTCTACTGATATAGAAATTGTATCTTTTGACATGTTTTCCAGTATTATGTATGGTTAAATAAAACCATGCTGGGTGTGTGCTCCAGCTGTCATGGTGTTTGGAAGTTAATGCTGGCATGGCTGGTGCTGGGTAGGAAAGTGGCTGGGGTTTGAGAAACACAGAGAAAGGGCCCTGGTAAGACACTTTGTGAATAATTTGCTATAAATACCCAAGGAACAGCAAGACTCCTGCGCTGCTGTCTTGTTCACAGAACAGGTATTTTTGAGGATTTCTGCTCTTAGCAACATTTATCTTCACAGGCTTTATCCAAATCAATCTGTTTTCTCATTTGGGACTTATATGTATACTTACCCTGCAAATACAAGATACTAATTCAAATACAGGAAGCTAAATAATCTTAAGAATATTTAAAGAGGAACAAAAAGCTTATGTTGGTCAAATCCGATCCTTATGGAAAACTCAGAGGAACAGCTATGCAGAAAATGTGACAGGTGTCAGCTCAAAAGACTACTATTAACTATTATTACGATCCTGTCACCAATTTATGGTGACACTAAGAAGACAAAAAGAAAGATCATCATTCTAGGAGCTAAAAGTGACATATGAGTATATTTGGTGGGAAATTGCAACATGCTCTGCACCTAATGGTAGTTGCACCAGCAGCCACCTTCTTTCTGATTGTAGCAATATAATGAATCTCTTCCCAATCAAAAGTGTACAAAGAGGCAAATGGCTTCATATGCTTCTAAGAAGTGCATGTTTTATCCTGATTAAGTATATATGGGTAGCATTCTTTTAATGTTTTGGTTAAAAAAATATCTTTTTGTTCTGTGACAGGTGATTAAATACTTAAACAAATCACTGTTTTGTGGCTTTGGTTAGTTTGGGTAGATATTAATCTTTTCTTGAAATGTTTTTAATGTGCCTTATAATATTTGCTCTTAGTGCTGAAGTAATATATTTTAGCTCTATTTTTCTTAAGAAAAGACTTAAAAGAAATTATGTTGATTGATGATCCTGATATTTCCTAAATCTATACAGTCTTCACAGTGTTCAGTCCTGTGAGTAATGTAAACTGCTTCTTACATTGCATGTCAATGAAATGATCTAGCCCTGTGAAACTTTGCCTACATTTTTTTTTAATTTGAAGAATGTAAATGCATTACCATTTTCATATGTATATGCACATGATGCATAAATCGTGCTTTTCCATAAATACTTAGATTGCAAATTGACAAAAAATTGCAATATGAGAATCCTTTCTCTGTGACTATATTCTTGAAATACTGCAGCATCAAAGATAATGCATTTAAACAAGATAACTTGCTTTTATAGCAGAATGAATTTGTTCAGCATTTGTAGAGTAGTGCTCTGGGAGTCTATCTATGCTATCATAATTCAGTGACTAAATTCCTTGATTTTCCCTACTTAGGTAACAAAAAACTAGTGTATACACATCATATAGAAAGCAATAAAATAATGCCTTCATGATGATACAATTCTTGCTGTAAGTATGGATCTGTAGAGTTTGCTCTAAAGAAGACACTGTCAGCATATAAGAGCATCATGTCTTTATTAAGTTTTATTTATTTCATCAGGTTTTGTGGCATTTTTTTTTTTTTACTAGGAAGATCCCTTGCCCCTGTTAATCTTTGTCATTTGTTGTGAGCCCTGCTGTTGTCAGAGAACCTGGTGCTTAAATGATTAGAAAGATTAAATTAAATTTGGCCCTCAGACTGCAAAACGCTCTTTGGAGTTGGGATCAATGTCTTATTTGAGATTTCATATTTAAAGCACACTGAGAAAGTATTACATGTTTGACCTCTGAAGTTATTCATGCTCCCTCCTGCAGTGAGTGAGGGGCATCGCTGCGATACGGAGCCATTCCCACCAAGCTGTGCAGGTTCTGCATGGAGGAGCAGAGGGAGGAGCAGAGCAGAACTGTCTGAAGGCAGAACTCGGTAATCGACTGTAAAGTTATTTTACAAGAGACAGTGTAATTATTAAAACACAGACAGATCATGCTTTGATATACTAAGCATACTGTCTGCACCTTCTCTGAGGCACTAGACAAGTAAATGAGAAATAAAAATAGATGCCTTGAGGGGGAAGAAAAGAAGTTTCAAACTCTGAAGCCTTTATTCATGGCCTGATTGCTCCCCCCAGCCTCTCTGCCCCATTTGTGCCTCAGACTCCACAGAAAGACAACTCCACAGCCAGAAGAGGAATGTATTTATTACAGCAGCACTGCCAGCCAAAATTTGCATTTCAAGAAAGTAACACAGTAGTTTTCTATTATACGCCTTTTGTTCTAAAGTGCTTTATTTAGCCTACACAAATATGGATTACTTCCATTGATTTAACTTAGCTTAGTTTTCTAATTTATTTAAGGTTCCTTCCTCTCCTGGTTTCTTGGAAGATTTTTTTTTCATGCAGTGACTTTACGCTGGTACCCAATTGGAATAGAAACAAACAATTCTGTTTCCCTTCTCCATCCTAGTTAAATTGTTAGAAAGAGTAGCTGATGCTAGTGAATATCCCCTTAAACATCATTAACAAAGGCTGTGATCAATCCTTGTCCCTTGCATTTTGTGCCATGTGGCTTCATTATTTCAATACTTTTTTCTTTCTGTTATCTAATACTGTAGACTTTCCTTCACTTTTCAGTCTCTGCAAGACTACTTGTGTGTATGTGAATCTCAATTAATTTTAAACCCATGTTCAAAGGAATATTGTATGAAAAAATTCAAAAGTGCAGATATATTGCTTCAGCTGGAATAAAATATAATTGAGTTAAAATAGAACTGTGAAGGACCAGGCTTTACCAAGGCTCTTCAAAGAGAAAAGCATTGCTTCCTCCAACTAAGAAAGTAAGAATTGATCCCATAGTAATTACTAACATATCCTAAACAAGGTTATCATATTCCATATTTATAATAAAGCTAAATTAACATTAACCTCTTGGTTATTTGCATATAAACATAAAAAGGGTAATACTTTTTCCATTTCAGATTGTTTTCAGACATTTTTTTCCTACTTGTTTTCGTTTGATGATTTTTTCCCCATCCACTTAGAACCCTAGAGTACTTTGTTTCCATTTTTAGTACAGTCCTTACTAATATATATTCCTAATAACACAGGAATGAATTTCTGAATGTACTGTTCACATGCACAAAAACTGGCAGCTGTGCTTATCTTCAAATTAACATCTCTTGCACAGAAATTGGTGTGCTCATTCAGGCTTTTATCCATCATACACATATTTCTTTTGTTTCACCCCGCAACAGGTTTCTCAAAGACTGTCCCACCACTGTGGGAACCACCTCCTGTTTCTATCTCAGCTTGTGTCATGCCCAAACCTTTGAAGTCTTTAAACTTTTTCCTGCCATGGAAGTCCACACAGTTCTCCTTCTCTCCTAGATCCTTTCTGCCTGTCTGCTGTGAGCTTTCATTTTGATTCCAGGAGACTGAAGAGCAATATATGTAGTCCAGCATAAGATCTGATAAGATTCTGTGGGTTTGCCCACCTTTTAATTATTACCTGTTTCTGACCAGGAAGTTTCCCTGGTTCTGTCAGATGTAGCTCTTGAAAGATCTGCTTGTTTTTTACTTCTTGTCATTTGGTGTGATCTGGAAGAAGATTATAGCACTTTCTTCACCATTTACAAAGTTACTGTTTTAAATACTACTGATCCCTATGCTCCTGTTTATTGTCTAAATCATGTCCGAAGAAAGTTAAATAGTTCTTCTGTAAAAGAATAAATAAATCCATAATCTTTCCTCTGATTGCAACAGTCTCTTCTCTGAGATCCTACTCTTTCTCCAACTTATTCCTTCAGGAGTTTGTAAGCTTGCAAATTCTCAGTCCAGAAATATCAGTGGCAGCACCAACGTCACCAGTAATCTTTTTAAACATCATTCCTTACTTTTGCTCAATAAGTACATAAGTATTACAATAGGTTTTACAATAAATTGAGGAATAACTCTCTGTCATCAGCAGTTGGAATCCAACAGACCAAGCTGCACAAACTCTCTGCAGATTCAAGAAAATTTCCAAGTTTGAAAGATGGGTAAAAGCAAATGTTGGTTTTTATGTAAACAGCAATTAGTATTTCCTGTAGCTTACTATAGTGAAGGTCAGACAAAAAGAAGGAACAAATCAAATAAAGCAGTCAGGTAATCATACTAATTTAAGGTAGGTAAAAGCAGAAACAATGTGTAGGTTACACAATACCTTTATTAGATAATGGCAAAAGGACAAGTCTTTCTGCTTCTGGGATTCACATTGACGAGCTCAGTTCATGACCCCAAGTCTGGAAGAACAGAGTAAGAAAAGAGAACAAATTATCCTTATGTATCTGGACAGACACTATCAGATTGACTAACAATTTAATTGGAGTCTGTTTATATCTGCTAGAAAATTTAACAGCTGGATAATTAAAGTCTCTGCCTGACCCAGAGGGAGTAGAGCACACTTAAAACGTTACTGCCCACAGAAATTATTCCAGTGAGTATGCTCCAGTTTTACTAAGAGATTCCTTTATAAATGTCAATTTACCTCCTCTAAGTACAAATATACAACCTCCTTGATACTAAAACTATTGCACTAGCAGCATGAACTTAAGTATTCAAAACATTTAAACCTTTGTCAACATTTAAACCATTGTATACTGATCAATACATGCCACACTGCTCCTTCTGAAGAACTCAGAATCTCTGGTTTTCCTATTAGTAGCAGAACAGACATACCATATATAAGAAATTCATTTCCTTCTGTAGGTCAGGTGGACACAAATTATTGCTAATGTGTTACTGTGGATGTGCAGCATTTCCTTGTTTGCAATTAGTGTCTATTTTAGTGAGCTGCTATATATAGGCTTAAATAGTAGTAGCAGTAGCAGTACCAGTGGTTATAACAAAACCAAAAGTAATTAGTATGAAAAATAATAATAGAGGTCTCATTATTAACCTTTTATTTCACCATTTATTTGGAGGGAAAAAAAGGATTTTGCAATTCTCGGTAAAGTATATTGTAGAAGTATTTCACAGGTTATTTTCTATTTTATAGTGTGAGTGTAAACCTTTGTGGAAAGAACTGACCTTTTTTTCTGTGCTTATATTGGACTTGACACGTTGTTGATGTCAAAAATTTTAGAGAAGTACTCTTCTGGTTAATATGACTCCCTTCTGACTTAAGACTGTGGGAGGACACAGTCTAACTTTACTAAGAAATTTGAATACTCTGAGACATATTTGTACACATTGCAATTTTAAAGGCTGCCTTAAAACAGTATCATTTGGCCTATATCAGAAAGTATATTAATACTAGAATATTACCTAGAGGGTATTATTTTTCAATGATACTCTATATTTTAAAGGTTGCAGTTCATGTTTTATTTCTGATGCTCAGCCTATGCAAGGTGACTTTCATAGATCTGACTTGGTTGAAATGTTTTCCATGTTCCATAAGGCACTACAAAGTTGTAAGTGTTGCTTCCTTTATGATAATATTCTCTTCTGATCTCTGTGTCATTTGTTCAGAGTTAATTAGCAAAAGATTGGAATGGGGAATTCATAGTTTTTATTAAAGTTATGTTAAAGGGATAGAAATTCAGTGGAGACCTCCTAAAGTGCCCAGTAGTAGTGTACAGTAAATATATTTTTTTGTCTGGTTTTCATATTAAAATTATTTGTATGTAAAGCATTGATTATCTCTTTGTTCAACTGGTAAACAGAAAAATTGGTGTATTATTTATATGTGATCTGTAGTGGTCTTGTAATATGTGTTTAAGACTCTTAAGCCTTAATATAATGTATCCCTTTTGAGCAAATTAGAAAATAAAAACTTTCCCAGTGCAGGACAAGTCTTAGGCAGAGTGTCACTAATCTGAGTGTGACTCATCTTCTGAGTGAGCCCTTTCAGTTAACATCATGTCCCATAAAGAAAAATAGCCACTTATGGAGGTAGAATTTGATTATTTTGTCAGACAGTAAAGAATTTCTAGAGGTTCAATTTAAATGCACATTACTTATGAATCTTTGGTTAATTCTATATTCATAAGATATCTATCAGATTTAAATCTCCAATAAAACTTTCTCACATTGCTCTAAGAATTATGAAGGACTGAAATTTCCAAGATGACCAATTTCTCAGGTTGGATATTGTGGGTAACACTGACCTTTTCCCTTCTTCTTGTCATATGTTTTTGTTCTACGGTCATCTTTCTATTATCTGATATTTGTTATGAATAATAATAATAATAATAGTTATTATGAATGAAAATAATAATATCCTTATTATTAAAGGCTATTTTTTAAATTCTTGTAACTGAGAAATGAATATTTGGTTAACTATGTATCACATAATAGGGTTTTTTTTGATTCCTAGGTCACTAACTGTCTATAAATATTTTCAGTTTAAGAAATAAATTTTGAAATCACTGTAATAAAAAGAGAAGGACAGGTAGAGATGATGATATCATCCAGAAGACAAAGTAGGTTTAAAGGATCCACTCTAGAGTTTGCAATTTCTGTACTGCATAGATAATACAGTGATATGTGTGTGCTCTTCTTCCAGGCTTTGAGTAAGATGGAAGCATGCAAATAACCACTAATTAGAACTGGGAGAAAACTACACTGCTAGTATATGGTACCCTTCCCTTCACCTTTTTTTTTTTCTCAACAAAATAAGTATTTAGAGATATAACTGAAATGCTCTAGTTTGTGAGAATATAACTCAAAAACTGCAGGTGCGATGTCTGGTACTGCAGTGCAAAGGCTATTTAATTCATTCTGGGCTGATTGTCTGTTCCTTCCAGACTTTTATTCAGGAAAACACCCCCTGATGAATGTGAATAATAATATTCTTTCCCCCTTCTGAGTGACACTTGAAATATCTCTGACTGGGTCAGAGTCAAGGCTGATCAGAATCTGTACTATTCCTGTCAGTCCAATGTATATGCTTAGGGAACAGTATAAATACAGGTGCAAATAATTTCTGTTGTATTTCTGACTGCTTCCTCTCCTCTCCCTCTCCTCTCCCTCTCCTTTTCCTTTTCTTTTCTTTTTTCCTTTTTTTCTTTCCTTTTTTTTCTTTTCCTTTTCCTGTTCTTTTCTCTCCCACACTTTCTTCCTAGTCCTGGTCTTTCAGTTGTATTCAGTTTTTGTTGCAGTTCTTACTGTAGAAAACTATTTCATAAATGCTTAGAATTCATGGTTGACAGGAATATATTACAAAGGATTTATATAACTAATATACTTCCACACATGAAATCATATTCAGACTTGTGTGAGATGCAGGCTTGAAAATAACACCTATGTTTAAATTTCTTTAAAATGTTCAGTATTTATGCTTGCCATAAACTAACCAAAATTTAACATTAACCTGAATTGTTCTATATTCAGTTATTTGAAATTTATCCATCAAAACCTGTGCGTTTTTTCTGAGGAAAGGCTTGAAGCACTGATACATTTTTTACAAAATATTGCTGCTTACCTGAGGAATTCTGCTTTTCCTTGTGGCAATGGGTTTGAGTTTCACTGGGTGTCTGGAAGCAGTCTGAGCCTGAAAGAAGTAGGGCTGCATAAGGCACCCGGCTACAAGTGAGTCTTAAGACATGGGAGTACTCACAGTATGTGTTTGTACCAATCTAATTTGGGAATACCTTCCCTCATCCAGCAGATTATGTCTTTTGCCATCCTCATTTTTTCCCTGATTTTCTCACTTCCTAAAACTGCCTTATGTGTGTTTAAAAAAACCGTAGAGGTGTGTTAAAATTTGCCAACGAAATTCGCTGAAAATGGTATCTATTTCACATTGCAGATTTTGGCCGAGACTTTGCTTCCAAATATGAATCTGGCTTTCATGATGCCATGACAGAAGACAACATTCACAAAGACAACCAGGAGAGCTACTGTGCTGACAGTGAGGAGTGTGCTGAGGAATGGGGAAGCCAGCAGTGAACAGAGAGCTGTGTGGCCTGGAGGAGAAGAAGGAAACAAGCTGACACTCAGAGAGTAAGGAATGGAGAAGAAGTAGCATGAGAGTACCCTGTGCTGAGGAGGGAAATAAGAAAACTGGAGCAGAAGGGAGTAAGTATGGGGGAGAATCAGAGCAAAAAATGATGGGATGGCTGGGCAGGACAAAAAGGTAAGGGAGAAGATGAGATGGATGCACCCTGAAAAATTTGTAAAAATATTGTTGTGAAGACAAATTGATTAATGCTTTTTAAGTGCCAGCTGTTCTAGTAACAAAATCCATAAAAAAATCAAGATGCCAATAATCATGTTTCAGTTGATTAAGAGCTATGGTAACATGTGGTAAATAAACTCCAGAGCCACATATTGAGTGATAAGAGAAAAGAGAAATATTGAAAAATTGTCTAAGCTATAAGCATGTGCCCTGAGTGAGGCAGGTGTCCTGTGGAAGAACTAAAGATTGTATCAAAAAACTAAAGATTATATCATAATGTATGCTCATAAATCCTAGCAAATAAAATTTGCATGGGCAATCTTAATTCTGACATTTCCTAAATCTGAGGGTTTCATTTTGCAATCTTAATGTTCTTACTGGCATTAAAATTAGAAAACAGTTAAGCTAGGTTAAACATAGAATCAATGAAATCTTAGCTGCAAGTGCTTCTGCTTCCCAGATGGTTTAAAGCTATTGGTAAACCTACCTCAAACAAACAAATAAAAACTATATTGCTTTATTCCTTAGATGTAAAACTGTGATGCTTTAAAAATAAGCACAGCATGAGAAGTTCTACTGAAGATCTAATTAGTTTCTGAAGTTTTAAATCTGTCTTATGGTGCCTCATATTTCTGTGCAAAAATTCAAGAAATAATAGCATTGCACTCCTTTTGCTTCACTGCCTTCAGAAATCTTTATTTCATGCTTCAGATTTAAACTGTCATTAATTAGATTCACATCATGTAACTACACTTCAGGAAGAATAATACAAACTTGATCTGACATTCTTATTTTCTTTTCCAGCAACTTCCTTTATTTTTCTAGCTTTTATAGTCCTCTGGGCTCCTGTTCTACAGGATATACTGATTATATCCGTTCTTTGACACTTTCAGCTTTCAACCTGACTTCCTTAAGACATTTAAATAGTGGGTCTGTAGGGGAAATTAGCTAACTTTCCCTGTCTTTCTTAGGTTCTGATTTTACCCTCTGCTTCCATTCTTTCATGAAGAAAAAAAATTTCATTCTTAAGATAAGCAATGAAAAATGGTGTTTCAGAGACAATTTATAATGACCTCCCTGACATAATGTAATTTAACATTGTAACTAAAGAGGGAACAGACTTTTTAACTGCTACAGCAGAAAAGTAGAAAAAAGAGAAAATGCTCTTTGAATAATTTGATTTTGATGCCTTGAAATGTTGAACTAAGGAAAGCAACTAGTGGATTTGGAGATGAAGAATTTTTAAAATTATTTCTTGAATCTTAAAAAATTCCCCAGATAATCCCTAAAAGAGCCCTTAAAACAACTTGCAAACAACATATTTCTGAAACATATTTTCTTGTCTATCTTTTACAGTAGTACATTTTTTCAGTGTGCATAGTGTGCATTATTTAATGTAGTATGAATATGTCACCATATTTTGCAACACAACACAAAAAAATTACTATCTCTCAATAAGTAACAGAAGTCTTTGTAACTTCAATTCTTAAATTTCAAAATGCCCTTTTATCTTAGTTAAGTGAATTATGTAGTTGAAAATACAACTCTTTAGTCCAACTGTTCATTTGTATCACCTTCAAGAAATATCTTTCTCTAACTCCACAAGTCTACTTGGTTATAATTCTCAGTTTGCAGAAAGAGACGTGACTGAGAGAGACAGAAACTTTATATTACAAGATATATTTCTCTAATGAAATAGTTATTAAATTTCCATGGCCTAGGAAAATTTTGAGGGAAGTCTTTAAAAGGAAGTCCCCTTAGGTTTTGGAAAGAGAAAAAGCCCTAGGGTGTGGGGCAAATTATGTTCTTTTTTTATGGATAAACTGTTATGTATAATTTCAATAAATAAAGGATTAAATGAAGAGGTTTTCTTAATGCTGTTTCAAATTAAAATGCATTAGCAATAATCATAGGAAAATAATACAATGAAACAACCACTAATACAAAACTTGAGAAAAGTAAGAATGAATTCAAGATGGTTACTGAGGTAGTGAAGAAATTTTCAGTGAAATATTGATGTCTGATATGGCAAATGTCAATTGCAATAATTTCACTTTTATGCACTTATGTACATTGTTGAATGTCTTGTCAATGGAAATTGCTGTGTTAGCAGATGACAACAGAATGGAATTAAGATGAAAAGGAAGACAAAATCAAAACCAGTATTTGTATAATGAAACTCATAAAAATAAATGGGATATAATATACTTTAAATTAGCATTAGGCCAAACCTAATAGCTATGACATCTTGTAGAAAAGAAAATTTGTGCTGGATGTTTAAAGAGGCAGACAAAATCACTGAAAATTAAAACTCGCAGGCAGGTGCTGGTTTTCTCTTGGCTTTTTCATATCAAATCCTAAAATCCCTTAGGCTTTGTTATTTATTGCCCTAAGAAATGTAATAAAAATAAAGAACAAGTACTACATGTGTGTTTTTATTTTTTCTAACAGGAGCCAATATTATTAACAAAATGAAAATGGCTATATGAGAAAGACAGAAAAGAAGTTTATGAGAAGGATTACTTGACGTGGCTACCTGGTTATCTGTGCTAAGAGTCTTTCAGTTCCAAGTGATCTCTTTCAGTGGGGTGATCTTACATTGTCAAATACAAATTTGGACGACAGAATTAGCAAAATTCTTGCAGAAAACAGATTAGAAAATCAATAATGACAGTATTGAACTGTCCAATTAAAAACAAAAACAAACAAACAAAACAAAAACAAACAAAACCACAAAAACAAAAACCAACCTTTTCCAACATATCCCAGATACAGGTCAAGCTCCTACAGTCAAATAGAATTAGCTTTGCCACATAAATAGCTGCGGTAGTTTAAATGAAATGCAGATATGAGAAACCAGGAGATGGACAAAGTAAAGATTCACAGAAAGTGTTGATAAGGATTCACAGATTATTCTGAGTTGGAAGAGACCCACAAGGATTATCAAGTTCAACTCTTAAATAAGTGACCTGTAACAGGAATTGAACCCACCACCATATTCTAACCAACTGAGCTCAATCTCAGGGTGGCACTTAAGGGGAAAATAAATAGGAAAGAGACCAGAAGAAATAATGAAAAATAAAGAAGAAATACAAGAAAATCAAAACAGAGTAAGGTTTTGTTTCATATAAAAAATTAGACAAGTACATTTTTGTCTGATATATAAGAAGAAAATCCATATAGAAAATGGTTCAGCAAAAACCAAAGTCTGTTAGCCAAGTTACTAAATCAGAATTTAAAGTGTTTTGTTTGGCACCTTTTGGAAGGAGTTGAATATGATACAATCCAACATGTAAGAAAGCAAAATTACAGGTTTCACTTATTAATGGTTGCTCAATTCAGAATTCAGAAGCAGTATTCAGACTGCCTTATAGAGGAAGTCAGCTACATCAACTGTTGATGGTTATATTCACTGAAAGATATTGAAAGTTTTAAATCTTATCTTCTCAATTATTTAGGTACATCATGTAAGCAGCATTATTAATTTAATTGTGGTCCTCTTGAACTGATTTTTCTCTGCAGATTGAATACTGTTGATTGTGTCTACCCCTTAGGGCTTTCATACTATTTGTTCATGTCACTGAACAAGAATAAAACACGAAGGAGAACAACAAAGACAGGCTTCCTTTTTGAGGTCCTGTGCTCCCTGGTAGAGCAAAGAATGGTGAAAAGAAATAAACTGCATCTTCAAAGATGTACAATGCTCTGAGAAAAATGTGCACTTGATTATTCCATTCAAAAGTATCCAAGAAGATAAGTGCAAAACTATCAGCAAGTGGCACCCAAAAGAACATATCATGGTGATAAAAAGGAAGTTATTTGTTGATAGAACTACTATAAAAAGGGCGTCACTGAGTCCTGCCAAAGTGACAGTGACATTTTAAGTTATCTAAAAGGTAACTAAAATCACAGCTAGTACTTACTGCATTTATAAGAAATACAAAGTCAAATACCTCTGAAGAGAAGTTTTGAAGGACAAGTGATGAAATTTTATGTTTCATATTGTAACTGGATGCCTTTTAGGCTTAAATCCTCTCCTTGACAGAGAGTCATTGCTCTGTTTCCAAAGCCAGCAGTTTTAGTGTAGCAAAAGCTTTGAGATTTATCAGCTTTGAGTTATAAGAAAGATTTAAGTATGGAAATCAAGTTATTCTACAGTTAGAACTGTAGTGTAGCTCTTTGTCAGAGCTATGCCTATATTCATACCCAGTGTATCAAGTCATTAGTTCCCTAGGTAGTCTGGGAATGTGCCAAATTCTGTGTAGATATTAAAATGGACTTGCTTGAAACATCTGATAGATGTGAAAGTCCAAGACACGTACAAAATGAAGTATTTGACTGATTATTTCAAGAAGCTCTTCATCTGGGAATTT